ATTCATGGGTATCCTTAATGAATTTGTGAATATCTGTTCTGCAAATAGTTTTTATTGAGACTACATAATATTTAATTCTGTATCTGTGGAACTACTTGCTCAAAGTCTTTACATTATCTCAAATATTTTCTTTTAAAAATTAATGTCTATTTTTAGTGACACTTATCCAAAGATATACGAAAGTTCATACCCTGTACAAAGTTTCTTTTTATAATACACCAGAATAAAAGAAATAGTTTTAAAATCTAATCTAAAAAGGAACAGAAGCAAAAAGATGGAAAGGAAAGAGGGGGTGGGGAGACAAAAGAGAAAATGAAAAAAGATAAAAATATTTCTGGTTCTCTGTTCTTCAGCTAAATATAGTATGCTATTAACATCTAATTATTCTATTTTCTATAAGCCATTTTTTTTTCAATCTTCAAATCCAGATATTGCAAGTTCATTTTCTCCTATGCAAAAAGTCCTTGTATTTCCAATTCTTAATAAATGATTTTTCTCCAATTAAACACATTAACTTTGCCATCTCAGCTAATAAGTTTATCAAATCTTCTTCAGGAGCAGAAAAAATGAAATCTATGTCACAGCTTGCTGTTCTGTCAAGAAGGTGGAGGCCATCAGAGATGAAGCTGGATCCATTTCAGGAAGTAGTTTTGGAGAGCAGCAGTGTTGATGAATTAAAAGAAAAGGTAAATTACAGAGCAGTCCTATGGAGGTCCGGGGGCGGGGGGGAGAGTCATCCAACACCCTACCTGCTAATTGTGGTCAGGGCAGCTTTTGTTCTTTTTACCTCTCCTATTGACACCAAAACACATTTTTCAACTCAAGAGTCGTCGCATTTATTTATGAGCAACTTCTGAGGATTGCACGCCAGTGGTAGATGGGGTCAGAGGCAAAGGTGGGCAGAAAAATGTATGTGACTCTAAACCTTTCAGCCGTACAGAAGTCAGAGGTTTCTATATGCACACACTACTTGCTGTCTTTCATTTCAAACAATCAAGAGTGATCAGTCTAAGGATACATTGTAGCCAGAAAAGAGCACTTGGAGGAGCAGGATGAGCGAGGGATATGGACTGGGGGGAAAGGATGTGACCTAGGAAAAGTTCCAAGGGCTGAATAGAGAGGCCTGGATTGCCATATTTGGCCCCCAGTTCTGAGTTCCCTGCCCCTTCTATAGTTAATTGATTAACCCCAACTGGAGGAGAAATTAACTATGGAGCTATACATCTTTGCATATCCATCCTATGTGATGGTGACCTCTGTTCTTCCCCACCATGGAACTCATTCCACAAACTGAGGCTTAATCCAGATGAGACACATGCTGATGGTGGTTAGTTATGTTGATGGGGGTTGAGAAGGTCACATATCCATGTAAAGCTCATACTTGCAGTTTGCCAACAGAGTTTTGTTCGGTATTTACAAATGGCATTCAATATGTGAAAAGCTGCACTTCCTAGGATTTTGTGCCGATAGTTATGTCAAGTCTTGACACTTGAAGCCCTGATGTCCCTGGTAGCAAGAAGTAGCTTCTTCTAGATTCAGCTAGCTGGAGGCTTCAACTAGCCTGTGGAAATAGCTTGGTCACAGTGATCCATGATTTGGTAGCCCTTCAGTTGGATTACTGTAATGGGTTGTATGTGGGGCTGCCCTTGAAGACGACAAGGAAACTTCTGTTAGTACAGTACTTGCTGCCTGTTCATTTCCAAGTCCAAGTATTTTAAAGCTCTAAGCAATTTGGGTCTGAAATGTCTCCTGTCAAGCCTTCCTGCCTATATCCTTAAGATGTTTGGGGCCTTTCTCTTGAGTCCTTGGCAGAGTTTTGTATGTATGTACTAAGGAAAAAATTCTTTCTGCAGTGGCAGACATGCTTAAGACATTTTTCTCAGCCCTGCCATTTATGAAGGGTTATGTTGCCTCAATCTTCTTTTTAGTTTTTATATTATTTTGTTGCCTTTTTATAAATTGCATAATGAATATTGTATTGTATTTGTATGTGGAGTAATTTAATTTTAAAAGTAATTTGATTGTATACTATATTCAATGAACATTTAGAAATATTTTAAATAACATTTTGTGTAGAACTTTAAATGTGCATAAAACATAAATGCAATTTGTGATAACAAATCTGCTACTTTATCTTATATTTATCTCTTCATAAAATAAATCTGGCACTGAATTTTTTTTTACAGCTTAGTGAAATAAGTGGAATCCTTTTAGAAAACATTGAGTTTGCAAAGGTGAGAATTTTATTTTATTTTTCTCTTAATCCTGCAGTATTTTTTTTTTAGCTTGTCTGTGCATGAAAGCCCATTCCTATGCACTAGCTGTTTGACACAACCGTCTCTGTACTCATACCATAGTGGACAGTATGCTAAATCCTCTGTTGTGGGGAGGAGAGTAAATGGTGAGCAGGGGTCTGGATGATAAGCGCTTTCACTGATGATCTTGCTGTATCTGCAGTTGCCCATGTATAGTATATATCTTCTTGGTGTATAGATGCTCTTTTTGCTAATGTGCTTTGTACTTTCCAGGGCAGAGGAACATTTCCATGTGAGATCTCAATTTTAGAAATACATCAGGATTTGGATTGGAATCCTAAGGTTTCAACACTGAATGTATGGCCTCTCTACATCTGTGATGATGGAGCAGTGATTTTTTATAGGTATGCCTTTCTGTTGTTTTTTAAATACATTGAAAAACATAGTAATTGTTTAGTACTAAACCAATAACAAAGTTGAGGCTGAAATTCTCCCCCTCAAACCCCCCCCTCAACCCCCCCCCCCCAGTGGGGCAATATTTTAGAGTAGTCAGGAATGGTCAGTGGATTGTGCATTGGCACTCCTTGCAATCAGCCTGCCCAAGTCTGGTGATCCTGCCAACTCTGATTAAATTAAACTTCAGTGTGTTCTTAGCCCTGCTTTCCAGATGTTGCTGTCTGTGGGGAAGCTAGCACATTAGGCACCATACAGGTGTCCTCAGATCAGCTGTGCCCACCACCAGACTTCCAACTATGTAGAGATATTGTGTTAAAACACTTTTTGTGCACCGTTGCCACTGTTCAAGTATTGTATGTGCAACTACTGTGGTAACTAAAAGACACAAGTGGCAGAGTATGCAGCTCTTTGCAGTTATGCCCGTTCACATACCACCAGTAAAGTACTGACAACTAGGTCTTTTCCTCACCAATTCAACAGTGCATCTGGTCCAAACATTGGCTCTTACTTCAGAGTTGTGCATATCTATTCAGAGCAGATGTCAAAGTTGATTCTCAAATTGCTTACCATATCCTTTCAGAGTCTCGGGTTGATGAAGTATTGGTGACACCTCATTTTCAAAATGCAATACTCTTTTCAAACTCCCTAATTTTGCCTCCAGCCTAGCAGTACCCCTTACTTATGGATTTGGGATAGGACTATTGCTTCAGGGGGACCACATAGGGGGAAACTGTCTTTATCTAGCATGCATCTACTACCATGATGTGCATTATGCAAAGAATTTTTTAAAAAATCTATTGACTATGCCTTAGATTAAAAATGAGCAAGCCCTATTTATTTAAAGTGCATTATTATGGAATTTAAAATTGTTGTATTTATATAAAAGGGATAAAACTGAAGAAGTGGTGGAATTGACGGAAGAGCAGAGAAATGAGTTAATGAAAAAAGAAAGCAGCAGACTTCAGAAAACTGGACACCGTGTGACCTACTCCCCCCGTAAAGAAAAAGCATTAAAAATATATCTGGATGGAGCACCAAATAAAGATTTGACTCAAGACTGATATTTCAGCATTTTCCCTGGGGAATTTTTTGTTACATGTGAGAGGTACACTACTACTGTGTAGTGCCGTTATGGCAGGACATTAGGTGTAAAGACACCAGCACTGATTGGTAAAACTGCAGCCCAATCAAGCTCAGTGCCCAGTCAGGTCACTGTTTGATTTGGAATCATGTTGTGCACTATAGTCAAATGTACTGTAAAGATAAAAGGGATGTGCAAATAAACAAAACGAAACAAAAAATGGGGCGGGGAGGGGTAATGAGCAAATCGACCATGTGCACATAGCAGTAGCTAGTAAACTAGCCTCAAACAGGATATTCATAGCTTGATAATAAAAGCTGTGCAAAGGCCATGAATGAATTCTTTTCTGTTTTGTTTCACTGATGCACACATTACCTCATTGAAGATTTCTGAAGTAAATGTGACAGTGGCTTTTTGAAAAGCTCAAGAGTGGAAATGTGATGGAATTGGCAGAATCCAACCCTCAAAAGTTAACATTTTTATCTGAATCTTGTTAAGATTTCTCTTCTACAAAGCAGGACATCTCTGAAGTAAAAAGAATAAATAAATGTATTTTTTAGCAGAAGTTACCATTACCAGCAGATGGTGTTTCATTTTGGAGCAGTGTTGTAACCAATTTTTATTTAGGTTATGAATAACAGGTGACTTCACTGTTCCATTCAGTGTGTAAATACAACTCTGTCCTGAGTTAGCAGAACTACATTTCAGCTGCTTACTATGGTATTTCTCTTCACATATCAATATTCACTGTATACATTTAAAAGTATAGCTGCCTATTTAAATTTGTATTCATTTTGTGTTTGGCAAATGCTGGGTACTTAGATTTGTAATTTTCCCTTGTTACTGAGTTTTTGGGGGTGGGTTTTTGGGTCAGCTACTTATTTTTGTACATTTTTGTTTTTGAGCTCTTACAGGTTTGGATCTTCTAGTACCATTACAAGTCATACTTTATTTTTCTTTGGAGTTGATCATAGTTTTTATATGTAGCTTTTTAAAAAGTTGGACATCTCCCAGTATAAATTATCCAGTAGTTCAGGAGTGGTGCAGATTGATGCAGTAAACATGATTTCATTTGCAAAGCTTAGACAAGTAAGATTTTGCTTTGCTATGTTCTTAAGATCAATTACAAACAATTCTATAGAAGGTTGTCCTTTTTTTCAGAAATGCCATCTAATTTATATCAATAAAAGGTTTTGGTAAACTTTTCCATGCCAGATGCTGTTTACAACAATGAACATGCCAATAAAACATTTGTTCATTCTGTTATTTTAATAACATTTCTCTGGACTTCTTTTAATACTGAAAATAACTTGACTGAAGAAAATATTTCATCTAGTGTTCATGATACCAAGTTTTTCTTTTTGGATTTAACTTTCAAACCAAAGGTCTACTTAAAAGTATGCAGCCTGCAGAAATTATCAAGGCCCTGCAGCAGATTATGGAAGAAAGTCACATGCAGCTTGGTGTCAGTCCTATGCTTTCAACATGCAGTTTTGAGACAAGGGTTTCAAGTTGCAATTCAGAGTGCTGCAAGAGCCAGATCAATCACCTTTTTTAAAAATGGTGATGCTGGACTGCAGGGCTGAACCTAATAAGGAACAAAATGATGTTCCAAGTAATTTGAGCATCAGATTTCAAACCCACCTTCCTCTTGCTATTTAAGTGTTATAACAGACTTATGATCTTTAAATAGTTGAGTGAGGGGAGGGGAGAGCAAGGACTTGGTTCAAGAAGGTAGCTTTCTTACAGCCAATTAGGGATGGGTATGGCCTGGACAGACTGCTATTGCCAGGCATGCAGGTGCATTCTATGTGGGGGAAATGACTGCAGAAGTTAAGTATTACATGTTACATCTCACAGCCAGATGCTTTTAAAGAGTATGGTCTCTTGCAAACTCCCCTTATCTGACTATGCCTGCTCTGAAATTAACACACTTTGGAGGTTTCTGCATAGATATTGAATTGGCATTTTGATAGTTATCTGGCAACTACACTCTGTCTTGGCATCTTTTTAAAAAAAGGGTTTCAGTACCTTCCTTAGAAAACATGAAGAGCCTGCCCTTAGCTGTAATATAGAATAAAGTTACCTGCCACAGTATTTGTAACTCAGCTTTGACATAGAGTCAATTCCCCTTTTTCTCTTTCATACTGGAGCGGGCTGGGTTCTGTTTCCACTCTAGGCTCCAAATGCAAGAGTTCCACCTATAGTCTACTATGTGCTAAATATTATCTGTAGTGATGTTATTTGAAATAGGGCTGCCAGACATACAGATTTTCCTGGACATTACCAGGATTTCAAAGGCAGAATTCACATCCGGGGGAAATTTCTGAAAGGCGGTGCTTTGTCCTGTAACTTAGGCAAGTCAATAGAAAAATCACAATTTTATGGCCTTTTTGTAACAAAAAAACCTTAACAACTTTGGGGTCTTCCTAAAGTTTAAAAGGTCTCACAACAGGTTTAGGATAAATTACTTGTGAAATTTGGACCTGGTGGTTCTTAGCATTATTCAGGAAGGAGCTTGACTGTTGGAGCAGGTAAGGGCTGAAATAGATGAGACTAGGAGAGGGGCTCATTACTAGATTGTGCCCATTACTAGGGAAGATAGTAGGATTCATATGGCTTTTTTCAAATCATACTGCTTTATTGTAACTGCTCAATAGCAAATATGCATTTTATATAAAACATACATGCCTACTAGAACTTGCTTCTAGGATGGGATAAAATAGCCATCTAGAGGAATGATTACTATCCTTTTGAGGTTAAAGTTTCAGATCTTTGTTAGAGATGTTTACTAATTATTGCTAAATTACATGCCACACTGACTTTTCTCATCCCTTATACTTCATTTTAAAATCTTAAGTTCCTGTAGTTGCTGTTTTTAAAAAATACACAGTTACAGCAGTGTCGTCGGTTATATTTTAAAAGACTGAATAAAAACAATGCCCAGTCTAAAAATCAAGAAGGCTCTTGACAAATTTTGAAAAACAAGCAACATATACATAAAATGCAGAGCTCAAACCACCACTAATAATCATAAATAGACTTAAATTAATCAATCCATCAACAAGTTCAAATCATGCCTTGTTTAAAACTCAAACTTGTCCACAAAAGAGTCCATTGACAACTTTTGACATTATAGTGTAGAATTTGGTTTGAGCTTGAAAAGAGAAAACCTCATCTGATCATGCAAGGGCAGAAGAAGATAACTATGTAGAATATACTCTCAATTATTGCACTTATATCCAGTAGTGAAAAAGTGTCTTGTTTGATAACTCTAAACTTGCATCCTATCTAAATTACTAGAATGGTGAGTGTGACTAATTAACTTGCTTAACTACTTTACATTTCATCTCCAAAAATCAGATCCAGTTTCTTTGGATCAGTTAAGTCTTCATCCAAACCTTCCTGTACTTCTGTAATCAATCTCTCTCCATAGTCGCCAGGAATGTGTGATGTTACAAAATCCAGAAGTGATATTTCATCCACTGCTAAAGGCTTCTCCTCATTTTGGGTCTTATTGAAAGAGAGTTCACAGAGAGAATCACTGCTATGCCTGTTGAGAAAGTTGTGCATTTCTCTTAGATAAGTTGTACAAGTGCCTATGCAAGCATGCATACAAGTGTGAGAAACCAGTCCAAAATATAATTTGCTTCAGGCTATGAGGCATTTTAAAAGTAGCCAGAACATGTACCCTTAAAATGCAGTGGTCCCGTTTGCAATTCTGTCTTGGATATATCCAAAAGTAGACCAGTGCTACTGAAAATTCTTTCCATTCTCCCTGAACTCTGAAATGATAACCCTTCTTTTGCCACTGTTCAGTTAGGGTCAAAAGAAAGGCAAATCTGATATATTCATGGCATTTATGTCCTATGGAAATTAGGTTTCGGTTCTTTAATACACTTTAGCTCCACTCCAAGTCAAACTTAAGTGCAATTCAAACCACAGAGGCTTAAGTTAGTCTTGAGTAATTTGTGCACTTGATTTAAGCCTGAACCAGGAGGATTGCATCCTTAAGTTTTTTGGGAAGATGAGACCTGGTCCACCCCAAAAAATCAGCAGTCAATATTTTTGCAGTGTGCACATTCACCCCCAGTCTGGTACCCTCCATACATTTGGACTAACTCCTGTCAAGATCAGACAACTGGCCATGCTGGCAGAGACTGAGTTAAAAACCCAGTAACATCCGGAAAGCCCCAGGGCAGGGAAGGCTTGTCTAGGAAGTTATATGTCCAGAAAGTGGGTTTGTCTTCAAGTGAAAAATGAGGTGTGCACACAGGATCTGCTCCTGATCTTTCTGTGAAAAATAATCCATTTTCCTACCTCTGCATCTGACAAATGAATCCATGTGCACATGGGCAGCGATCGAGGGCTCCATCTGGCTCCAGCTCCCATGTAATTAGGTTAAGAAGCCTGTTTGAGGGATCATAGCAAGGCTCTCTCTCTCCAGGTAATGGGGTGCACACAGGGAACAGAAGGTCTGTAGGTAAAAATTGGAAAATCCAGTAAAACGTCTGATCTCTTCAGTTTCACATGCAGAATATGTGCAGGTTGAATATGTAAAATAAGGAATATAAATTTGCCTAATATTAAATATAAGACAAGCTGAGTTTGCATAGCAATGTCAGTCCTTTTCCTTCCAACAAATTCTAAGGGTTCACCTAGAAAAACTTTCTTAATTCACTTAATTAAGTTACAAGGACACAATACACTACTAATGACAAATAGATCCACAGGAATCCTAACCCTAACCAAGATAGCACATGTATTTAGTCATATGTGCACCATCTTGTTTTCAAGGCCTTAAAACAAGCCTTTAATGCTCTCAGTTGGAACAAAAGGCTGCATATCTCCATCCTGAAAACCAAATTCACTTATTGCACATTCTTGTGATAAAGGGTGGTGTTCTACTAATTCAGAAGAAATTAATACCATTAGCATACCATTAGCAGCTAGTAATCTCAACACAGCATGTCCTGCTCAAGGTATGAGCAAAAAGATAAACATGATGTCTAGGATTATTTGAACAGAACCGATATGTTCATCTTAGGGAAACGGGAGCTGATTTCTTAGTAACAGATATCAACGTTATCAGCATCTATTCTATGTAAGATGCTTCAATTACCTTTATCTTGTTTCTTTACAGTACCTTGTTTCATTCCATAAGAGCTGTTTGAGATCAATGCTAATCCTATTTTACAGATTGCAGAGGACTAAGAGCTAGTGGGAACACTTGTTACCAACATACCATATGGTGATAATTTGTATGGGAAATCTCTTCCTCTGACAATTTCTCTTTCATACTGAGTGATCATGAGAAAAAAGCCACAAGACAGCAAGCTGCCCTCTGGACATCCAACGAGATCACGGCTGGGCAGGGACATGGACTCAGGGAAAGTGTGTAGGACTATGCTACCTCTCTGATTTAAGCTAAGGAAGACTTTCCCAGTGCCTGGTTCTCATTTTCATACTCTTGACAATGGTAGCTTTTCCTCAAAAGCATTGTAAAATCTCTAAAGCAGAGCCTCAAGAAACACAACATCCCATATCAACAACGTTGCAAATACAAAGCAGACTGAAAGGAGTTTCAAGATTAAGAAAACTGCTGCTAGTTGACAGGAAATCTCGCACAAATCATCCAGAGTTTTTTTTTTTTTTAAGTTCTATTTTCATAGCATCATGCTCAGTTGTCAAGCACACTGCTTTACCATTTGGCCAAATTTTGTATTATACAAGATGTGCATTTTATGGATTATTCTCTGCCACGGACTTCTCCTACACATACAGATTAATATATACCAGCCTCCCTCAATCTGCTGTGCTCCAGTTGTTTTGGAGTACAACTCTTCAGCTATGTCCAAAGTAAGAGGACGAACAAGCAAGCAAGTGGTAGGAGGCAGCTGCAGCCCAAGACAGGAAGAGAGGTAGTAAGGGAACACACCTAGCTACTTCAAATGAATTCAAATCTCCAGGGCCTGATGAGCTGCATCCAAGAGTACCAAAGCAGCTTGTGGAAGTAATTTCAGAGCCTTTGTCTATTATCTTTGAGAATTCTTGGAGAACAGGTGAGGTCCCTACAGACTGGAAGTGGGCAAATGTTATCCTCATCTTCAAAAAGGGGGGAAAGGAAGACTCATGTAACTACCAACTGGTGAGCTTGACTTTGATACCAAGGAAGGTCCTAGAACAGATAATTCAACAGTCGGTTTGTGAGCATTTAGAAAAGGATGCTGTGATCACTAAGACCCAGCATGGGTTTTCTCAAAAATAAGTCATGCCAGACCAATCTGATTTGATTTTTTTTTAATGGAATTGCAAACTTGGAGGATCAGGGAAATGCTGTGGACATAGTGTATCTTGATTTCAGTAAGGCTTTTGACAAAGACTCCCATGATGTTCTCACAAGGAAGCTGGTAAAATGTGAGTTGAAAGAGAACCGTTAGGTGGATTTGTAGCTGATTGACTGACCAAACCCAAAGGGTACTCATTAATGATTCCTCATCATCCTAGAAAAAAGTGACAAGTGGGGTGCCACAGGGTTCTGTCCTGGGCTTGTTGTTGTCTTTAGAAATGACTTATATGAAGAAATTAAGGGGGTGCTCATCTAATTTGCAGATGACACCAAACTGGGAGGGGTAGCTAATGATGCAGAAAACAGAATCGGAATTCAAAATGACAGTAACAGATTGGAGAACTGGGCACAAGCTAACAAAATGAATTTCAATAGGAACAAATGTAAGGTTCTACACTTAGGCAGGAATAACCAGAGGCACAAATATAGGATGGGGGACACCTGGTTTACTAAAAGTACATGTGAAAAGGATCTAGAGGTCTTGGTGAAACACAAGCTTAACATGAGTCAACAGCAGCAAAAAAAAGTTAATGCTATTCTAGGCTGCATCAACAGAAGTATAGTGTCCAGATCAAGGGAAGTAATAGTACCACTGTATTCTGCCTTACTCAGACCATACTTGGAATATTGTGTGCAATTCTGGGCACCACAAGCTGGAACATGTGCAGAGGAATTGATCAAGGGTCTGGAAACTAAGTCTTAGGAGTGCTTGAAGGAGCCTGGAAACGAGACTGAGAGGAGATATGACAGCCATCTTCAAATAACTTAAGGGCTGTCACATGGAGGAGGGGCATGCTTGTTTTCTCCTGCTCTGGAGGGTAGGACTCAAACCAATGGCTTCAAGTTGCAAGAAAGGAGATTCCAACTAAAGATTCAGAAAAACTTTCTGACGGTAAGAGCTGTTCAGCAGTGGAACAGATTCCCACGAGAGGTGGACTCTCCTTCCTTGGAGGTTTTTAAACAGAGGTTGGATGGCCATCTGTCATGGATGCTTTAGCTGAGATTCCTGCATTGCAGGGGACTGGACTAGAAGACCCTTGGGTCCTTTCCAACTCTAAGATTCTGTTATTCTTGTCATCCCTATCCATTGACCATGCTGGCTGGGGATGATGGGAATTGTAGCCCAAAGCATCTTGAACAGGGCCGTCTTAAGCATATCCTGCACCATGGTGCAAAGATCCCTCCAGCGCCCCCCAACTCCAAAACAAGGGAGGTGGAGGTGGAAAATGTCCTCTGCCTCCCCCACCACCCCGATCCCTGGCGTGGTGGTGGCGATCAAGCAGGAAAACATCCTGGTTGACATGCTCTCAGGTGTTGGGGCGCCCGAGAAGGCAGCCCAGGAAGGCTGCACGCCGCCTTTCGCCAGGAAGCAGGAGGAGGACAACGACCGGGAGCAGGGCCGTCTTTAGCAGATGCAGAGGCTTGGGAGGGAAGCAGCTTCCATCCGAAGCCTCTGAGGGGATCGCTCTCCTCCTGTGAAGGCTTGGGAAGGAAGTTGCACACCCGCCAGCCATATAGTTGGCAGGGCGCAGCTGGCGGGTGTGCAGGGAAAGGGGATGCTGCCGGCAAAGCCGTGCAGCTCCCCCACTCAGTAGGGTGCCCCTGAGAGGCCAGCACCCTGAACCACTAAGACCAATGGGAAAGACGGCTCTGATCTTGAAGGTTGGTGAAGAGCAATATACAGTGGAAATGCAAGCTCACACACTGAAGTAGTTTCTTGCTTGGCCTCTCGTGCAAGGGAAAGAATAGGAACAACAGCAGAAAGTGATGTAGTGGCTGACCTTTTGAAAATGCGCAACACATTCCAGGATTGCAGTCTTTCTGGTTTTCACAAATCGTTCCATTTTCTCCTTTTGAGGCAGCTTTCACGCACTCACCCCAGACGCAGAGTTGATGTCCACAACACTCCACATCTCGAGAGCATTGCTTAGGAGAGAAAAATAAACACACACATACTGAATTGGTTCTTAATCATAATGGGACGCACAACATCATAAATACAGTCAATATAACCTGGCTACAGTAACTTGCATCGGGCATGAACTTCTTCATAGACCTGCATTAAACAATCCCACTGACCTAAATTCTGAAAGTCCACACTATCACTGCATCAGTAATTCTGTAACAGCTTAATATAAAAACATGGCGCATTGCCTAAGAAACACACCAACACAAACCACAAAGAAAAAACAGATATAGTGGGGTGACTTGCTCCTGATCAAAATGCAGCTAAGTCTGGATTACTGTAATGTGCTCTATGTGGGACGGTTCTTGAATACTTTTTGGAAGCTGGTGTAAACCAACGGCACAAGCTAGGTTTTAAAAAAAATCCAAAAGTAAAGGGGATAAAGGACACCTCTGTAAAGTACCCTATTATAGTTTATATGAATAAACCTATTTTGACTATTAGTTTAAAGGTTGGACTTAAATGTAGAATTCTGCTCCTCTGAAAAATCCGGTTATGTTTTTCTACCATGCTGAACAGGGTATTTCCTGTCATTACATTTAAGGCTCACATATAAACAATTAAAACCATATGTTTCTAATTTAAGTTGAGAGTTCAGCAGGCATTTCATCAGTACTTTACCATCTTCACTCTGCTTTTCTTGTACTTAAAATAAATAGGGCCTGGACTCTACCAGTCACTATTATTCACATTACCTAGGCATCACACAATCAACATAGTTCTGTTATATAACTTCAGCCTGTCTGCCAAGTTAAGAAGAGCTAGATGGGGGGAAGGGGGATGCAACGCTCACAGTGTGTTGAGTTTTGCAAACATGACACCGGTACTCCAAGCCGGAGAATTCACAGTATTTTCCTGTCTCACAGTCCTCATCAATAATGCACTCCTGAGAAAAGAAATGACATACCTTTGGTAAGTATAGAAGAAATAGTTGCTGCGATAACACCACATGCAGCTAAGATTTACTAGTAGCAGACTGGGACACTGCGGTCCTACACATTGCTTTACATAGCAAAGCTATGCGGTCAACCTATTACTTGAAAGTAAAGAATATCCTTTTGCAATCACATACAGTACATGCAGAGTTTTGCCAAACTTTGTCCCACGTCACAGAAAACAGCAAAACAATTCTGTGTTGACCTCCCTGGATGCACTCATTCAGTAACACTAGATCAATATATTGTCAGGTCATATCAAAGAGCTGCTACAAATGGTACATAAGAGTCCAACATCTTACATAGCAGTAAGTAAAAAAGTGATGGACGTATTTCAGGCTGAACTGGATTCCTAGCTGGATTCCTTTCATCAGTTTCTCAAAAGAGTACATGACTTCCCCAAAAGGTTGAACACAAGATTTTATTGCAAAGCAGTTTATTGCGTGTTTAAATTTGACATCTTCATTGTTTTCTAGGCTTGGGGAAGATTTCAATTTCAGACATTTTCAAAAAAAACTAGCAGCCAGCACACTGAAGGATTAATATCTTAGAAATATTGCCATGGACCTCATCAGATGTATTCTAGCTTAAATACTTTCCAAGTACTTTTGCAGACAGTATAAGCTGCGGAATGATGTGGAAAAAGGCAAAGAGCCACTCATACCACTATAATTATATAAATGGTTATAGTGCTATACCAAGAAGAATGCTGAAATCGCGAATCATAAGAATGCTTCCTCCTCATTTCTTGGCTATGTAGTTGGCACCTTACTAACTTATAAGTCATGCTGACTATGGAAATCAACGGACTTAAATTACTTGAGACCATTGACTTCAATGGGTCTATCCAAAATATGATTAATGTTCCATATCACTCTTAGAGTACAGAGCTGTGCTTAACAGGAGTGCGCCTAAATTAGGCTTGATAAAACTAATATTTTAACTCACTGTATTAAAATAGAACCACTCTTTGCTGTAGGGGTCATTGGGCCAGTGTGTGCATTTTGAATTTTAAGAAAGTGTTGTGGGTACCAGCCACAAATGGCCGCCATGGAGGGGCACTGCATAACACAAAGTGGTTGCCGTGGTAGCATGACATAACAAAAGGCATACACCCCTCCATTAGCCATCCCCCAATTAATGGGAAAAAACACCTGCATCTAGGACTGCCAACAGGACTTCCTGGGGGAGGTACACTGTATGTGGATTGGGCCTCCTGCACCCTCACCCCACAATCTATTGGCAACAACTGCTGCTTATGTACCTATATTTACTTAGCCTAGCCTACCTCACAGGGCTGTTGCAAAGATAAAGGGGGGGGAGGGAGGATAATGTACACAACCTTGAGCTCCTGTGTGGGGTGGGTAGCAAGGTAGAAACATATAATATCATTCACAGATAATGTTGAGAAAGCAAGAAAAGCAGTTTTCTTGCTTTAACAGCAATGTTTCACTGTCTCAACAAACAGTATTTCATTGTCTGACTCAGTCCCTTTGTATCTGCAGTGGGCAGACTGTGGTACAGTTTAATCTCAAAAAAAGAAAAGAAAAAGAAAGAAAGAAAGAAAGAAAGAAAGAAAGAAAGAAAGAAAGAAAGAAAGCAAGCAAGCAAGCAAGCTTGAAGTTCCAAAACAAGTTAGTTGTCAAGAACTGCCAACTTTCCACACTGATTACAAGTCATGCTTGGTTAGAGAGGCCTGTGAATTTTAAAATATAAGAAGGCAGGGAACCCCCTTTGAGTTTGTCAACGTCCTTCAGAATAAGTCCTGATTCTGAGCAGCTAAACTCACCTAATATTAGAAGCTTGTTTAAATGAGTCTCAGATTCCAAGAGCAGCAACTTTGGCCTCAAGAACCCAGAATTCAAGACTTACCAGTCACAATGGATTGTACACTCTTCTTATGCTAGGTGGAATTGTGTTTTCAAATGCTCTCTTTTATGAGGAAAAGAACACAGATATAATCTATCTACTTGGCAGACATAGTAAATGCACAACTATGAAGACTGCACATTCTCTATCTGTAGTAACTGAAAAGAGGAGAAAAATCTTGAGGGAAAATGTTCTGTCTTGTCAGGGAGATTCAGAATTGTAAGTTTTTGTTTTTATTCATTCAGGTTTTACATAATTTTATTAACGTTTGCATAAATTCCATTTCATTTTAGTATTTCTTTAAAGTGGGACTTTTTAAAAAAGGGTCATTCTGCGCTATGCCAGAGAAGCTCAACACTTTCAGGCTTGTCTATGTGGGTCAGAATTAACTTCTACTGATGTTACCTTGTGTCATGCAAGAAGGATTCATACAGAGCCACCTTACATAACTAATTTTTAATACACTGTGACTTTAAGGTCAGGCCTACATTATCTTCTGTTGTTGCAAGCTGCATCAGAACTTTCCATGACTCACCACTGAGCTGTGCTTATGAAACACTCTTTCTAAAAAGCAAACTGTCTCTCAAATAGTGTTGTGGAGCATTATGGAAAATTGTGGGAGAATTTGTTCTCTCCTTTGAACAAGAAGCGCTTACCATGTTCCAGGGACAGATGAAGGCACTGCATATGCAAGATCTGTCAGACTGCATTCTTGGTATTCAAGAATACTTTGGGTCCAGGCTAACTGAAACATCAATTACCCAAGAAAACCTGGTCGTTTTCTACTGGTCTTGCAACTTCTATGGCAGGGATGGGAAATGCATGGCCCTCTGGATGTTGTTGCACTCCAAGTCCTATCTGTTCCAGCAACAATGGGCAAAAGCCAGCGATGATGTGAATTCAACATCTGGAGGGCCATAGGTTCACCTTTTTTCCACTGGAATGTTTCCAAGTGCAGCAGAACTACCGTGCAGATTTTTGTCATGCATTATTTTGACAGGACGAAGGAAAAGCTCAGATCCGCAGTGAATAAAATATTGGTTTGATGGCAGTATTCTTCTGGATCGCCTTCCTGACAACAGCTAGCAGTGACTCAGCCTTCCAGAAAGCTCAAACACTCATTAGCAAAAGATGCTGAAAAAAACCCTTGAAAGTCTTAATCAGAAAAAGGGAACAAATAATATTTTATCTAGCTGACATAAAAAGCTTAACTTTATCTAAGTGGTTCCAGTTTATATTAGTCATTCCTCTATGCTTCTTTCTCATGCACTCACTGGATTCAGCTGGACTGAGAGGAGAGGATAACACAAACACACAAACACACAAACACACACACACACACACACACACACACACACACACAGCCTAGTTCACCCCCATCAGCATTTACTTATTGTGCATTCATGGACCTGATCCATGTGTGGTGTGGGAGCTTCTTATTTAGGGCAATGAGATTTGATAGAGTTCTATCTTAAGTTCATTTATTGCACTGGGGCTACTCTGGGCTTGACTTACCGGTAGTTTGCTATCACCTATATGCTTTAAAATGTCTACTGTGCTTTCATGGTTTGGTTTGGTTTGGTTCTGTTTTATATTGATTTGTTTTAGTTGATTATCAGTCCCCCTTGGAGTGAACTACTGCAGGCTAGGGCATTTTAACAAATTAACAAACCAAACAACCTATAACTCAATTTAGCGTGCCAGCATTCTTTTTGATGGGCTATAGCAGCTGCAGGTTGCAATATTGTTTACACCTGCTGATTTGATTTGGGATCAGCAATAAGCAGAAAATGATAAGTACATGGAAACTGAAGTGTCATCTTCCCACATCCATCTCCATCACATCATGAATATACTGCATGAGCCAAGAGCTTCCAGCACTTCTGTATCATCCCACTCACCATACTCCCAGTTTATACCCATAAATTTTCAAAAGCAGGTGACATTTTATGCTTTCCCCACCCTTTAACACTGGACAGAGACAATGTTTTCCAAAAGGCTAAAGACTCGTAGGTAAGACTGCAGACACAGAGGCTATGGGACTTTGCTTCTTAGTGCACCTCTTCTGGGGAATTTCTTCAAAAGCAATTCTAGTAACTTACGTTCCCAAAAACAAGGCCTTGCAACTAGGGGGCTAATGTTTTATATCGTCCAGTATATGTTAGGACTTGAAGCAAGGAACAGATGCCCAGCAGCCTAGCTTTATACATTCAGATGCTTAGCATACAACAAGAGGGTTTTTCTCAGACTTCTAGTAAGTTTCTTCAACCCAATACAAATTGACTAAGGAATGACACGCACCAACATTTAAAGCACAGATTTAATTGTTTTACCTGCTGGCTCTTTATTCTTGTTGCTTTTTAGAATTATCATATTTTAATATTCTTTTATTAGCTGCCTTGCACTTATGTAGGGTAATATGTAATTTAAGTATTTTAAATAAAGTATATTTACTAGTAACACCAGTATATAAGCCTGCACCATCTTCAAGGCTGCATCATCACTTATTGCTATCAATTATCTTTTGAGGCTTTCCAATATTTGTTTCAGAATTCCTCTGATCAAAAACAAAACAAACATGGATTATGATCCACAATTTCAAAGCAAGAAAAGCTCTATAAAATTAAAAGTATACATTGCTCCAGACTGAAAATCTGAGAAATTATTTTAAACTTTGTCAATATTAAATGTAGGTTTAAGAAAATACCCGAGTGGCACCACAATGGATAGCCACAATTTATTCAGCTCCATCAGCTCACAGCTCAAGTTCATGAAACTCTTGGATGAAAGCCTAATATCCATCTTAGTGCCATCAATCGCAGCTGAAATCTGAGTAAGGAAGAGTTGGTCTGAGTATGTAAATGGCGCCTCTTCAACAACACAGCACCTTCCAAGAACTGGACTCTGGTGCCAGTACTGGCAAAAAGCCCAGTTCCTGTTCTAGGGACTAGGAATAGATATTTTCACTTGGGGGCCAGAAAGGACATCAGCTGAGCTGTCACCAAAATGGGAGTGCGAAATATGCTCTTTTGTGAGGGGAGTTCTAAAGTAAGGCTTTGCTTCTATTATCTTTGTGTCCATGTTATTTAAAGTAACATTTTAAAAGCTATATGGACTTCAAACGGCTTTTCTTCTAAAAGCACGAGACTTGGGCAGTTTTTTCAACCACTGTATTTAATGTCAGCTAGAATTTTACCTACTAATAGCAAAGCAAGTCAGAGGAGGGAATAAGCCAAAAATCACAACAGAAGATTTGCCCTCCCCTGAATGATGCCATGGCTCAGGTATCAAGTGACCTGATGGTTTTAACTCTGGCCTAGCTAATGGGATGCACAGTGACAAATACCTTAGCAGAATGCAAGCACGGTACAACATAACCTTTGTGCAAACTGGGCAAGTCGGACTACAATGCGTGCAGGATTTGCCAAAAGTTTGCATGCCATTCACACATGTTCCTGAGGCACAACATTGTCCCCACACCACATGGAGAGACATGGTAGAAACAAGCACCTGAACCTTGTCTCTAGCATGAGGCACATTATTTACTTCAGTTCTCTGCATGAGGCACACAGCAGTCTATAAATATGAATCACTGAAACAAATGGACCATCCATCAACCCTAACAGTTTAGCCATTGGGCGCTATCCAACTAAACAGTTCCACTACTTTGGGCTCAGCACTGGAACTTCTTCTCCCCGCCCCCCATGCCTGCTCTGGAGGAGTGAGAGAACCACCAGATTTTTTTTTGTGGGGGCAGGGAGACAAAAGGAATGGGTACTGCCCATTATATACAGCGCTGAACATCTTTGGAAAGTTAGGAGTTTGTCTTCACTTTTCAAAAGCAGAAGTCACTTACATGATTCCTTTTGCTCTCTCCTTCCCGTATTGATGTAATAATAGTTTCAGAATAGTTAGTCGATCCAGTCTTGTTATCTGTGGCCTAATATTGCAAATAAACACAGTACATTAAATCAATATTTTAAATTCATTTCAGTTAAACAGAGATATGGGGTGTTTCTAATCCCCATGTATTAATCCCTATTTTTTAAAAAATACCCATTATTTTGAACTATCATCAAGGAAATGATATAAATGAAAGATATGAGGGGTGCACATTTTTTTAAAAAGAAAGCATGAAATTTACTCCTTACTATGTAAAAATATTTGGAATGCTTTGTTCACCAAACATGCAACAGAAATGGAGGGCAGTGTTGCAGTCCAAGGCTGTAACCCTTGTAGGAGCATCTCTAGACTACTTTCCACAGACCTCAAGGCGAGTCAAAAGGAGGCTACCAATGTAACTCTATGCATACTTACTTGGGAGTAAGCCCCACTGAACACAATCACACTTATTCCAAGTTGACTTGCATAGGATTATACTGTAATAATACATTTCTGCTCAGCTTGTCTACACCCAGCTCCTTCACACTAAATATGCCTTTTTCAATGCCTTGACAATTTCCCTTCCATATACGTTGGCTCAGACCACTGAAGCTTTTATAGGCAATAAGCCAACATCTTGGCCTGGGCCCAGATATTGGAAATGGACAAAAGTTACTTTACTATATTGTTAGCACATGGGCAGCATGATTCTGCCAGCGGCTGTAAACTTTCAACCAGCCTTCCAGGGGCAGTACAGTGCAAAAGGTATTATAGAAATCCAATTGTTACCACGGCACAGACAATATAAATTACAGACAAAATGCAGCTCTTTACCTTATTAATTTCTTGGTGACTATGTATGGTTTTATTTCCAATTTTTGTATCTGTGTCCGATTCATTGTGGTAGTTGGCAGGTAGCTTCTCAAAGTCAACTTCTATCCTTTTAGAACCTTCTTCTTCTGCCTCCATCTAGCAAAATCATGATCAAAACAAGTAATAAATACTAGACAGCATCTAAAGCAATTATTAATTATAGGCACCACTCAACAAATTATGTATATTATTGGAGACTCTACATTCTGCCTACATCAATGTGACCTGGCCCCGATCCCATAACTGTCCAGAAAACAAAGTAACTCCCACTAAAAAAATAGCCTTCAAAGAGGGCAAGGACACAGTTATTTGCAAAAATAATATCCATGACAGACAGCCACAGACAATCAGCGCCAAGGACTGTGAGTACTAACTTGAACAATCAATTAGCTTCAAGCACTGACAGCTGACTCCCAAGAGTTACTCTCAGAATGCTGACCACTGACAGCAGCAGCCATGTCCAAACCTGGCCAGCAGCATCAATGCTCCCCACACTGCTGTAATTTTACTTGCCTTCAGAGCAAACAAAGTAGTCTTCTGGTCTTTGCATGCCCTGAAATGGACCTGAAATGCAGGGTTGGGGATGAGGGATTTCTTGTTTACTTATCTGATTGGCACACACTGTGGGTCTTAAGCTAGCTAGTCTCTGGGTCCGACAGGTTTGCATGCCCTGAAAGAGTTTTGCAACTAATCTCTGACTGTTCAAACATGGTGATTCATTTTGATGCTGAAGCAGGCTGTCAAGTTTGCTGAATCTTCATTCTAGGAAAAGCTACACCTGTACATCTGCCTCCCCTGCAGCTTTAAAAGCACAAGAACCCTGTGTGGAGAAAATGTGCTAATCACAATCTAAACACTGGGAGCAAGTCCTACTGCATTCAGCAGGGCTAGATTCTAAGTAAACATGCACCAGACTAGAACTGAGTATTGCAAAATAATTTCCTTCCTAAAGACAATGTTTGCTGCCTTTTCCATAGGAACGATGTATTATTCCTGCATGTAATGACTAATTATATTGTGATGATTAACAAAAACCTATGCATTCTACTCTGAGGTAAGTCCTGTGGGGCTTACTTTCATGTCAGCATACACAGGACTGCAGCCTTGCAGGACTTCAACTACCAATAGCTCTGCTTCTTGTTATCCCTGACTCTGACTCTGCATATGGTTGTCTGCTTTGTCCTCCACACCACCAGCCACCACTGGCTAATACTACAGGTGGGCGGCTCACAGCATATATCAAAACATACAAAAACATCAAACATTAAACATGTCCTGATACAGGGATGCCTTCAGATGTCTTCTAAAAGTCAGATAGTTGTTTATTTCCTTGACACTTGAAGGGAGGGTGTTCCACAGGGCGGGCACCACTACAGAAAAGGCCCTCTGCCTGGTTCCCTGTAATGTCGCTTCTTGCAGTGAGGCAAGCAACAGAAGACCCGAGGAGAAGGACTTCAGTGTCCGGGCAGAACGATGGAGGTAGAGATGCTCCTTCAGGTATACTGAACCGAGACCCTTTAGGGCTTTAAAGGTCAGCACCAACACTTGAATTGTGCTCACTGGGAGCCAGTGAAGATACTTTAGGACTGGTGTTATATGGTCCAGGCAGCCACTCCCATTCACCAGTCTAGCTGCTACATTCTGTATTAGTTTTAGTTTCCAGGTCACCTTCAAAGGTATCCCCACATAGAGCGCATTGCAGTGGTCCAAGTGGGAGATAACCAGAGCATGCACCACTTCGGCAAGACAGTCTGCAGGCAGGTAGGGTCTCAGCCAGCATACCAGGTGGAGCTGGTAGACAGCTGTCCTGGACACAGAATTGACCTGTGCCTCGATGGACAGCTGTGAGTCCAAAATGACTCCCAGGCTGCGCACCTGGTCCTTCAGGGGCACAGTTACCCTATTCATGACCAGGGAGTTCCCCCCACCTGCCTGCCCTCTGTCCCCCAAAAACAGTCTTGTCAGGATTCAAGCTCAATCTGTTAACCAACAACCATTCTCCAACCGCCTCCAGGCAGTTAAGCAACCAAATTGTGCCACCAATAGGAATCCATTGCAGATTTAAACATAACCTACTGTGTAGCCTTTGGAATTAGAAAATTAAGTATGAATTATACATGGCTTTAGGAACATAACCCCTGCACAAGTTGAGGGCTTACTGTAAACGCAAAGTTATCTAATCCCATTTGGGTATTTGATGTGTGCTAGAGTGTGTGGTATACAGATATAAAATGTAACGTAATACTTCTCCTGTCCAGCCAAACCTAGAAATGCTGCAATTTATAAAAATGTTCGTGTGACAATTTTTTTCCAGAGAAGGAAAAAGCCAGACACACCCATTCATGGGAAAGAAAAGGAAAGAGAGACAAACAGAATTAGTTCACTGATAAGAGATTGTAAAGACTACTGCACTGAAAGTTCTCTTTTCCTTTGTTTGCTACTATTTCGTTTGACGGAGAAGTCAGTTTGCTGTGCTTTTGTTATCACTTGTTAAGGGAAGAGAGTAATCCACCCCTCCTCTTCAATTATTTGCCTATTCCTGTACTTCCCAAGATAGATGTTTGAACTGTCCTAACACATTAGAACTATGGAACTAAGAAACTGTGTTACGTTTGCTTTGAGCAAACAGAAGGCAAACCTATAATCAGGCTAGAGCAGATGGCTAAATGCATTCTCAAGTCAACTTCACCACCCACCTATATTGCAATCTAGAACCAGCCCAGTCATTAGGCAGGGTGAGGCGCTGCCTCAGGTGGCAGAAGTACCCCAGGTGGCACCCCCATGGGTACCCTGCCTGTCCTGCTGCCTCCTCCAGTGGTGCATGTTTTTGGCAAATCTTGACCAAAATTGCACAGGATATCACCCCAGATCACTGCAATCTTGCCTGAAATTGGTGCTGATGGTGGTGGCACTTCACCACCAGCAGTGTATGCAACAGGGTGCAAGGTAGTGGCAGGAGCAAGTCAGGTGGTGGCAAAACAGGAGATGCTACCCCTGTTGCAATCACAATCACTTCCAGGAGGCTCCACTAGGGACTATTCAAAAACAGGAGTTGGGACTTGTGAACAAGCTTTTTATATCATTTCTGGTAGGAACCACAGGTATGATTAGAAGTGAGAGAAATTCAATATTCATTCCCACTTCATGAATAAACAGATTAGCCATGTCCTCTTATTCCGCTCTCAGTGTACTCATGGTGATAGATTCAGACCAGTTTAAGCTATTGCAAAAGTCCAGAATTCAGGGCAAGGAGGTGTTCACATAACCAGGGATCAGGTCTTAACACAAACAGCATGCCAACCCATATGAGTTTATTGGCAGCACAGATTATTACTGAACAGATTAAGGATGGAATTCAACATACTACTAAGGAGACCATTCCATCAGTGCAACTGTTCCTGTTTGCCCAATGGAGTGACAGCCCTTCCCTTTCCACCATGTGCAGTTCTGGAGATTTTCAAGACCCTCCAGAGCAGTTTGGGGGGAGGAGGTACACAGGTGGAGAGGGGGAAAGCCCTGTTATGCTAGTGGGATTCCTTGCTCTGGCTTCAGCTAGCAGAATGGGCTAACTGGGTTGGCTCTTATTTTCCAAATAAGAGTCAAACTCTACTCATGAATAAACACTCCCATCTTCCCATGTGCATAAGTACACTGTTCAGTTCTTCAGCACAAAGGACACAGACTCTGTTCAGGGTTGCAGCAATTTTAACAATGTATGTCACATGTTCAACTTTAGGGAAAGCATGTGATGTGTTATAAATCAGAATTGTAGTGTTGGGTGGACATTGTTTATATTCCTTACTGACTCTCCTTTCCATTTACTACTATCACTTACATTCTTGTGTGCTGAAATATCCAAAACCAAGCTACAGTGTTATGGAAAAAGGAAAAGTGTTCTTACTGTGTAAACCTAATACACTGAAGGATCATATGATGGAAATTCTGGCATATGCGTAATGATACTTAGCTGTTCCTACATTACAGGAAACTCTTCCTAGAGGTCTGTTTTCCACTGAAATGGGAGTTCACACATTGTAAAGAAAAGTATTTAGCAGGGGCCTAATCACATCCAGAATATATTAAGTGCAGGCAACAAAATCATTTCTGTTTCATCTGCTGTATGACACATCTTTGAATTAAAGGTGTAGTTTGTCACAGAGTAGAACACACATCTTTGACATAAGAATAATTTTTAGTGCTCTGTTCTACTAACAACCTACCTGACAGATAATTGCAAAGGGCTGTTAATATACCAGTTTCTGTAATGATTATTACATTTTTAGTCTTCCCATAAAATAAGTTCCCTGGTGACATAAGCAAAATAGGATTAAAACAATTGAAAAATGGAAACATACACAAAAGGACAGAGCCAGCAGAGACTGCCATCCACAGTCAAATCACTTAAGAGTGCCAACAAAGCTTTGTAAGGAATACAAATGATGTAATCTACTCAGCATCCTATTCTAAAATAAGCTCCCAAACCCTCTGGACCAAGACAGTTACTTCCTAGTACTCTCTCTCAGGTACCCTCCTTTTGCTCCCTATGCATGTCTTAAGCTTTAACACCTTGCACAAATTAGCTAACACAACACTCCAAGATACATTCAGCTATACAATGGATGAAAGCCAGAATTAAGTTTGAATCAGATGCTCATTGTGATACAAAAGTCTTTTAATGAATCCACAGAAGCTACTGAAGACCTGTAGGTGTCTGGATTTAATAACAATTCAGATATGGATGGACAAACTATAGCTTTAACCCAGACAAAACAGAAGCATTATTGGTCAGTAGAACAGGAGATCAGGAAACAAAGGCTCAGACTGTATTGCATGCGATTGCACTTCCCTTGAAGACCCAGAAACAGTCTGGGTGTCCTCCTGAATCCATCTCTAAGCCTGGATATGCAGGTCCCAGTGGTAGCCAGGAATTCTTCTGCATAAATTGAAACTGGTGTGCCAATTATGCCCATTCCTAGATTTGTCAGATCATCTTCTTACGTTTTACTACAAAATGCTAAATATGGGGCTCCCTTTGAAAACTGTTCAGAAACCTCAGCTATCGGAAGCATGTGACTGCCTTCACTGACTTCCAATGTGTTTAGGAGCACAATCCCTCTATAGCTTGGAATCAGATTACTTTAAAAGACCATATTCTCTCATATGAACCTGCCTGGAGTTTGCTATTTTCCGGAGTGGTCCTTCTCTCAGTCCCTCCAGTATTCGAGGCACATATATATTATGTATTATGGCTGGTTTTGTTGTCAGTTGCCCTGTGTGGCATGTAAGCATCTGCATAGGATATAAATAAATTTGGCAGCAGAATGAGAAAAGGGCCTTCTCAATAACTGAACTCAAGCAGTGGGGCTTCCTCTATGGAGTCTCTCTTTGACTTTCTGTTATCAAGGCTTTTGGCCTGTGGGCTGACTTTATTTATGGCTTGCCTTAATATTTTAATGTAGCCTCGTTAGTGTCATTGATTTATTTTACTGATAATGAATGGATTGGCACCCAACAACAACAAATTTTTATATTTTATTGTGGAGCAATTATTTTCAATATGGGTTTGTTTCATTACTCATTTTAAAGAAAGACATTATTTACTCACAAACTGCAAACCTATTTTAAGGCTTTTATTTGGACAGCTGAAGTCTCATTTCAAAGCAAACTGACACAGCTATCCAGTAACTAAAGTATGGGGTTACAACTTGCATGAACCAGCAATTCAGCAATTAAACTGAGATTGGGATTAAGTCCAAGGCCATATGTAATCAAACTATGTCTTTTGTGTGTGTAAATACGGTAGATTTTTCTTGGTTTTACAATTTCAAATTCAACAATTGTTTTCCATCAAAAAAGAGAATAAGAAATACAAAATATACAACACGGAATATAAGAACTAAAACAAAAAACATCTTTTCAGAAGTTCTCTTTAACCTCCTGACTTCCTTCCATTTCCTTTCCTGGTTCTCATATACATATATATACACACACACACAGAGAGAGAGAGAGAGAGAGAGAGAGAGAGAGAGAGAGAGAGAGAGAGAGAGACTATGTCAACAGGAAGTAAAGCAGCATAGAAACCTATAGCTTTTTCAATAATGGACCCAGAAGTGTTACAAAGGCAGAACTTTAAAACCAAATATAGTAGTCAGATTTAAATTTAAATTTATATCAATATAATTTAATCATTCCCATGTTAACAAGAGCCCTCTTAAATGTACGTGTTAGGAAGGAGATAAAAGTTTTTCCTTAGAGAAGGACCATTATTGTTCTCCCTTATCGTATGAAACATGAAAGAGTAGGAGGAGGACAATGATTTCCCAGATTCCTGCAGCAAAGGGAAAAGCTGTAACCAGTGCTTCAGTTGTCAACACATTTCTGGAAGGCATGCCCACTGATTACATTGTCATTTAGTTCAAAGTGCTGGAGGGTGCCAATAACAGAAAACAAGGCAACACTGATATCTCACCAGTGTCAGTGAAAAATGTTTTAAGAGTGCTAGAAGCAGAAGGTAGAGGCAGTTTATAGGTACCATGACCTTTACAAAATTAAGTGCCAAGGGTCAACCTTGCCTGGACATAATTTCTTTTGATAAGGAAGATTTTTGCCTAATCCCAGATGCAGAACTATGAGCTGTTCCCATCTACCCAGAGAGAGAAGGAACCTGAATAGAGTCAAAAAAGCATTCATCATTTCACATATCCCAAACCTGAACTTGACACAGATTCTAGGCCAAACCTGGGCTCAAATAAGCAATGGATGTATAAGGAAGGAAGGAAGAAAGAAAGAAAGAAAGAAAGAAAGAAAGAAAGAAAATTGGGGGTGTGGTGTTTATCTTCCAATCTAGAGTTTTCAGAGGAGGAAATGCAACCCATGCAAGAGTAAGCTATTAAAATTCAGGATGAAGAAAAGTGCAACCATATTCATTTCAGTCTCTCAGGAAAACAAATTTGAAACAGCTGGATTACTCTCAACTATACAAACAGAAACCTTGTTCTCTCCCTCCTGCTGCTCCATTAAAACCACTGAAATTTAACTACTGGAGCCCCACAAGACAGAAACCATTAGCTTTTTCACAAAGAAGTTGCAAACATATCTTAAAAACAACAACAACTGCTGGCCAAGAAAATAAAATCTTCAAGTTCAGACAGTAAGACTTTCACCCTCTTTTCTGTCCCCTCCTCAAACACAAGCTACTTTTAAGATTTATGTTCCTCAGCACCCACCCTCACTTCTTTGGATTGTTGCCAGTGTTAAAGGTGAAGAAAAATACATCATGCATACACAACCCTGTTAAAAAGCTTTTACTGTAACTCTTGAGAAACTGACATTTTCAAATGCAATTTTGGATACTTGTTTCCTCTGAACAAGCTTTTATTGTTAGAAGCCAAGTTATAAACAATTGAACTGATGGGTAGGCATGCAGTTTGTAGCGAATAAAAAATGCTGTGAAGCAGCAGGATAAAGGGAGGAGAGCAAGCTGAATCTGGAGAAACAGACATTATGATAATCTCTCAACAGAATAATTATTTCTGTGCAACAGTGTACAGGATGGGGAAAGGTTCCCAAACCAGGAATCATAAACAGTGGACAATTAGCAGGGACATAAAGCAAGTCTTCAATAACATCCTTTCCAGCCAATTTCCCGTACAACAAATGCACAGATTTAATACATTTGTTGGGGGAAGATGCAGAAAACACAAAATCAAGCAATGCCTTCTTTCATTTAGAGAAGTGTTTCTGTTGCAGGGTTACTACATCCAACCAGCACTAGCACTCATTTTGCCACTGGAAAAGTATGCTTTCCTGTTCCTTAGCTTATACCATAAATTGCATGTGAAATATTCCAGGGTTGTAAAGTTAGGACTCTCACTGCAAAAGGGTAAGGTTTCTGGAGCAATAATATGGAGGTGGGTCATATCATACTCAAGACTAGATAGGTTTCAAGCAGCCATTTCTATGTTTCCCTTCAGGTCATGTATAAGTTCATTTGAGTTTGCAGCTAAGCTCCATTCATTCCTAAAGTCTTAAAAGTATACTCAACCAATTATTTATTTTTTAAGAAATGTAATCTAAGCAAACGAGGTTCAGATGAGCTAGCTGGGTTATTATAAAACTTAGGCAAGCATTTAAAATACTTGTAAACACATAAGCAACTTTGAGGGTCTACTGGAAGGCACACATATGGGGGGGGGGGAGTTTCCTATGCGTAACAAGGCTTACTCACTAGTAACTATACTCAGGACTGTAGCTATCTCTTTCCTCCCAAAAATCTTTGTTTCCTGTAGGACATAACTATCAGTTTAGAAAAGCGCTGAGCAAATTTCATCCCTTGCATTAAGATAATTCTCCCCCGCCCATGGGATGATAATGGGATATAGTACTACTATTGCCAATGTAACCTGTTTATATGGATCTTCCATATCACATTCAATTGTTCCTTCTTGTCTTTTATGCCACTCAGGAAATCTATGGCCATTTCCTGCTGTAACAGTATGTAATGACGATGGTGGAAGATGCCCCTGGGTCCGGAAGATAACAAAACCATATTCTAGATATATATATTGGCAGAAGAAGGCATACTTAGCAGTATCCAGAACTGGAAGGTAAATGTAAAAATGCAAGTGAAATGTAACAGTGGTGTGTAATAAGCCTGCCAGCATTGCTTCAAAAGCAGATCAGCCATCCACATTTGCTGATTTTATCCATCATGAAATTAGCAGGGGCAGGAGCCACATATCGGGCTGTGTAGTAATAGTGTGAAAGCACCCCAGACAACTAACTGCAGCAAATCCCTCACATTATCAAAATGTTTACTGAGGCTAGGGAACAAGGTCAAACTACACCCCCACCCTAGCATTATTGGCCAGAAGAAACATATGCAACTTCAGAGAAAGAAAAGAGGAACGGGAACAGCAGCTAATGTATTCTCCTTTGTGCAAAGTGAAAGTGGAGATTTGTAGATGACAGCAATGGATGCCTAAAGCCTGCTTCTTCCAAGCTCTGCACCTGGATTCATGTGAACAATGAATAACTTATTTGTACGGTACCTGCACTTCTCATGGTGTGTGCATTTTAGAATTGTGATTAAGTGCCCTGTTCTCTCACATTCTTTCCCCCACCCTCTCTTTTGGCTCTGGCATCTACTACTTCTGTTGAAAAGTGTTACACTAGGAGACCCAGTTACTGTAAGATTCTTTGGAGCTATGCTGTCTGCAGATATTTTTAATGTCCTTCAGCAAGAACTCCTCCATTACTCACAGATGCCTAGAACAGAGAGGATGCAAGTGAACTGTTGATGCAGCAATACTGAAAGGTGGACACAGCTCTAAGCCTGTTTCCATATCCCCTATGGTTTGCATGCTCATTATCCAGACAAGTAGCTCAGGAAGAGAACCCGTATTATCTAAATGCATAGCCTGAATAGATTGGTCCAATTCCTGACAAACAAGCAAAAATCCACCAATCCACCATTTAGGGAACTCTGAACACAGTTTCCCCCATGTTTTGCCACACTCTCATTGTCCTGATCAACCCAACTGTGGGTTTTCAAGCAAATATTTCAAACAAACTAGTTCTGTTTTGTATGTTAAAAAAAAAGAAGTCACTCTGCTTAGTATTAAGGTTAACCTTCTGCCCATTTCTCATCCACAGCTGTACCAATCGATCTGGACAGCAAGTCTCACCTCTTGGACTGCATTCCTCAACTTGTACTGTGTGTCCTCCATCAGCTCTTCTACCTCTCGGAACATTTCATTCAGACTAGCTTCATCCTTGGGAAAGTTTAGTAGTACTTCTTCAGGCTGCTCATCTCTATCTGAAGCAGGAGCTGCGTGGGCCACCCCAAAAAGGACAGCCAGCAACAGGAGCTTTGAGCCAAGCAGGAACATCCTCAGAAATGTCTCACCAACTCCCTGGAAATAAATGCCAAAAAGAAGAAGAAGAAGAAAAAGGAACTGAACCCATTTTCATGACACAGGGAACACACACACCTTTCTTCTTAATCCTTTAATGGTGTGCAAACCACACAATGAAAACACATTTTTCTGCAAAGAATTCTGCGCACTGTAATTTAAGGGATACTGGGAAAATTTGCCAAGCGGTAAACTACAGTGCCCAGAATTCCTTGAGAGGAAAATGCGCTTTATAGGTATAGCAGGTAGGATCCAACCAAGCATATTGAATCCTCATTGAATAGTAAATGGCTTTGGGATGCCTCATGGAAAGAGTTTCATAATGATAAGTTGTTCCCGGGGTTCTCACCTTAAAGTTTTTCCCCACCCCAAAACATTTCTGCCAACTTTGCAATTCTCCCAGGTTTGCTGGTGCTTCCCTCTTACGTGCAGGGGCTGCTGTTTTGACTGCAGAAGGAAGAGCACTTATCCCTGAACTTCAGAAACGGATATGCAGTAGAAGACTATGCATATCGCTGGGCATAAGTTTTCATAGCCCACATACACCCCAGACCACAATAACGCGTGAAGCATTTACCAGCACCACCCCTCCTCCTCCCATCCCACCTCTTCGTTGTTTCAAGGGAAGGGTGTTTGGACAGCCGTCTTAAGGAGGCAGCCTTAAAGAGCGAGGACTCCGTGCTCTTGTTTTATTTAAAAAATTATTTATTTGGTTTTTCAAATTATAATTTCAATTAGGACGCCCGTGCTCTGAACTCAGGCGAGGGACGCCTGCAGCAATGCCCGCGCAACTGAGAAGCCCTCAGAAACACACGTTGCAGCAGCGCGACATCCTCAGACAACAGAAAGAACCCAGGTGCCTCTTATCCTGCAAGGAAGAGCCCACAGGGAAGAAGTGGAGGAACACGAACCCCCTTCAAGTTTCTGCAGGAGAGCTCTCCCTTCACACGTTACGGGGTGGAGAGGGAGGAGAACAACGACCTGCGTGCACGAGGGCCGTTTCCCCAGCAGCCAGCCCAGCCCAAACCTTGGACGACGACGGCGAGGAGCCCACTCCTGCCCCTCTTTCCTTCCCGCTCCTGGGCGCGCGGACTCCACTCCCGCCGAGCCCACGTCAGCGCGCGCCCAGGGCAGCCGCCTCAGCCCCGACCCCACCGCGCGCGCCGCCTTCTCCTCAATACCTGCTTCTTGCAGAGCCCTCCGCGCCACAAGCCCTGAGGTAACCGCTCTCTCCCGCCTTCGCGTAAGTCCAGGCCAGCGCGCACGGACCGCGGGGCGCCACAGCCGGCCTCTCTTCAGCGGGCTGCCCTGCTTGGGTGAGGGATGCTTTTCCCCACCTCCGGAGTTGTCTACTCCCGCCCGACTGCTGAGGAAGGAGACGCCAGAATCCTCCCTTCGCCCCAACAGAAGCAGGCGGCTGTGGCTCTGGCTGCTGAGCAACATTCACCGCTATTGGCTGCAGGCGAGGAAACCCAAACAGGCGCCAACAGGCAACCACAGATGAGATGAATGAAGTGGGAGGAGCCAAGGGACTGGGGTCCGGAGGGGGGCGGGAGGGCTAGGAGCTGCCCAGCTGCCACATTGATTAGTTGGTTGGGGCTGCTGGGGGCTGCCCAGCCACGGGTGAAACCTGAAAGAAGAGGGGGCACATTGTCACCCCCCCACACACACAAAAAGGGATTCCCCGCGGGCTGGATGGAGAGGCCAGGTCAGCACGTGTCATCTGTGTGCCACAAGATGGATCTGCTCTAACCTGCTCATAGTTCTTGGAAGAAAGTTCATTTGGCTTTCTTTCTTTAAAAATATTTTTTTGTTAAAAGATTTTCTTAGGTTACAAAAGTATGTGCATTGTCTCTTTTTTCCAGGTAGTGAGTGCAAGGAAAAATAATAAATGAATAGAAAGAGAACCTACCCAAGTGACGCCTATGCACCCCCCACACATACACTAATTAAAAGAATGTAAGTTTTACCACACACACGCCCACTTCTCCCCCAACCTGATACTATAATGTCTCACATGGAATGTAACTGATTTGTAGAAAAGTTCCCTTGGCTTTGAGGTTTACTCCTGTGTAAGTGGATAAAAGGAACGCCTTCATTTTTTACCTCAAGCACAAGGGGGTGGGGTGGGGGTGCCAAGATTATATGCACAGACTAATATTTAGTCATAGGGTGCTTCCAGACAACCTGTTTATTGTGTATCCCTCTTTAATTTGTTTGCGGTGAGATGAAAGGGTATTGGCTGTTTAACAAGCATTCATTCTGCTTTGTTTTCCGGGAGGTGACATGTCAAAGCTAAGTGCATTTTCCTGGCATGTTTCCAGTTGCAAAAAGTCTGATCTTTGGGGGAAGTGGGCTTGTTGTGGATGATGTCCCAGTCAATTATAATTGCACAACTTAAATTTACCGTTATGTGATTGAATCCCACCTGAAAATAGCAACAGTCTGGAAGCACAGTTAGTCTATTTATCACATTGTTTACAAATACATTTATGCCCAAAGTGGTTTTTCGTGCAGGTGCACAATGGGGCAATGTTGTGTTGCCACCCTCCCAATAGCGGTTACTGAGACAGCACAGAGGAAGGGCGGTGGCGAGGTGGCACTGTGTGGAAGGACCAAGCTGGCTCTGCTGGTACGTCTGTGTAGCCCCAACTTTGCCCTCATTGAGGTAAGCAACAGTAGTGCCACTGTCAAGACGAGGGGATACAGTGCTCCCTTACCACACCAACTACTCCTGGTGTTCATGTAAAAAACCCGAACAGTCTAAATACAATCCTTATGATACATTAAAAAAGAAAAAGATCATGATTAAAAGTTCATTGATTAAAAGTTCATCCACATTTAAGTAAACAAAGTTCACCAGTAGGTAAAGTAACAATATCCCATAATACTTGAGCCCAGAACCCTGTTTTATCCAAGTTTTACACAGATGCTTTTCAACATCTTTATGCGCCCCCTCGCCCAGCTTGTCCGGAGTTTTGGGCTGGGTTGCCATCAATATGCTGATGACACCCAACTCTATCTGTTGATGGATGGCCATCCTGACTCGGCCCCAGACACACTGACCAGATGTTTGGAAGCTGTGGCTGGATGGTTACATGGGAGCCGGTTGAAGCTAAATCCTTCGAAGACAGAGGTCCTGTGGCTGGGATGGAACGATATGGGATTGGCTGCCACATGCATACAACACTCCACAGGTATCACCTGTACACACTCTTGAATAGCTGCAATAATAAATAGTAATGCAATAAAAAGTACAGTGGTGCTTATTTATTTCATAACATTTATACACTGCTTGCTGGGGGTGGGGAGCCAACCACCCTCAAATCAGTTTACAAAAAGTAAAACGAATATATGCAGTAAAGCATATGCAGTATACCATTTCAGGAACTCTTGAATAGTCCTGCTGATTTCAGTTTAGATAGTTGAATCTGAATGTATAAGGAAGGGATGGCCACAGATATTTTAGTACCTGAGGTGAACCACAAAATGGTGCCTCTCCATCCCCAGAAGAAGGATGTGCGGGCCATTTTCGGACCCAGAAGAGAGTGTAACGGGGCTGGGCTGGGCTTTGCTTCATGATATTACATGTGACAGGGACGCGGGTGGCGCTGTGGGTAAAACCTCGGTGCCTAGGACTTGCTGATCGTAAGGTCGGCGGTTCGAATCCCCGTGGTGGGGTGAGCTCCTGTCGTTCGGTCCCAGCTCTTGCCCACCTAGCAGTTCAAAAGCACCCCTAAGTGCAAGTAGATAAATAGGTACCGCTTTATAGCGGGAAGGTAAACGGCGTTTCCGTGTGCGGCACTGGTGCTGGCTCGCCAGTTGCAGCTTAGTCACGCTGGCCATGTGACCCGGAAGTGTCTTTGGACGGCGCTGGCTCCCGGCCTCTTGAGCGAGATGAGCGCGCAACCCTAGAGTCGGTCACAACTGGCCCGTACGGGCAGGGGTACCTTTACCTTTACTACATGTGACACGGAGCCATAGCCAATCCTTACTCACTTGTGTACACACACATATACACACAGAGAGAGCCAGAAATATACACATTATAGTTTAATGTGAACATTTTTTTAAAATTTTGCATTCATTCACAGAAAATGTAATCAGTCAGAAGAATAAGATACTTAGGATTTTTTTTTAATGGAAATGAGAGCTGGCTGGAATAAAAACAAGTCCATTGCTTGGCTGGCAAACAACCAATTATTTAAAAATGATATATTGCCCACTGGTGCAACAAATAGAACTAAAGGACAACAGTATCAATAGGACACAAGAATCTGTTTCTAAAAAATAAGTGAGAATATATTTTCCCTTAGACCACATTTGAATTTTGTTTTTTAAAAAAATCACATGGGAAAGATATCAAGGAACCAAAGAGAACTACTGTTATCAGGGGTTGTGGCCATTGTCACAAGTTGTACAATAATCTACTGCTGCTCTAACATATAACCTTATTCAAATATAATTATAGCATTCTGGGACTTCCACGTCTCATCAAATGTTTGCATAAGATTTAGAAAGAAATATCTGTTCTGAGCTTGACTGTTGCGAGTCAAAACATTTTCTATTCCTAGAACTGTAGATTGCTGTGAGATCACCTGGATTTCCTCAGCTCACACTTTAAAAAGAAAAGAAAAAGCAAAGCTAGCATTTTTAAAATTATTATTCCTGGTGGGCATAAAAACAAAAAGGGGAGACAGAGTAGTGAGTCACTCATTATGTGCTGCAAGAGCTATGCAACTAACTGCAAGGAAACATTAAACCTCTGAATCATTCTCTGTCTGCCAGACCATGGAAACCTGGCAGTTCTAGCATGGACATAAGAAAACGCTTGTCTCCCAACGTGATTTTTTTTTTTAAATCTGAAGAAATTTGACACTACAGTAGCTGATTTTGAGACATCAAAAACGAGCTCGAAATAAGTCATTTATACCTCTGAAATGTATCGCTATATTTTAAAGCAGTGCATGCAGACAAAATTCCATTTGTGACATTCAAACTGGTTATCAGCTTCTGTTAGTGCATTCTGGTATGCAAAGTAAGTTATAACCTCATCATTTGCCTTCATGATATTATGTGAGACAGAGGGCGAAGGGGAGGCAGGGTGAGTGAATGCAGTGCCCCGTTACCACCGAGAGGTGGCCTTAGTTAAATATATATTTCAGCACAGCGTGAGAGGCAGAATGAACATGCATCTGTGTTTTGATACTCCTGGGCAAAAAGTACTCATGAATGTTTGGCCATCTGTGGAAACAGTGTATGGCAGGCATCCCCAAACCTGCGGCTCTCCAGATGTTTTGGCCTACAACTCCCATGATCCCTAGCTAACAGGAGCAGTGGTCAGGGATGATGGGAATTGTAGTCCCAAAACACCTGGAGGGCCGAAGGTTGGGGATGCCTGGTGTACAGCTTTCACCAATAGAGAAAGTAGCTGCATGAGGGGGTTGTGCTTTCCCTGTGTCTGAGAGACACTGCTCCCTGATATTGGGTAAGAGTGTTGGTGGTGCATTACAGTTGAGGCGAAATGCAACTTTTGCATATGGCAAAGGGGAAGGGGGAACATGAGAAGAAAGCATACTTTGCAGCAACCCTCCCCTTCCCTTTCTTACCTGTATACGGTGCTATTGGAGCTTACCTGCAGATGGAAATTAGTGCATCCCCTGTGTTTGGGGCTCCCTATCATTTGAAGGTGAATGTTCACAATAGCTTTGGAATATGATTTTGGTCTCTGGATTGTGTGTCATGCTAATATAAAAAAGCAAATAAATATATAAACAATGATGCCATTGGAATTCTGCAATGATGACTACCCTAGTCGCAGTACTTTTTATAATGGCAGGCTTAAGTCCTTCATATCATCAGCAGTGAAATAAGTAGGAGATAATACCACACTGAAGCAACATCACTGTCATCAATTTTAGAAAATGACTCAGTAGATCAGCCAAAGCTTTACCGATGACAGCAGTGTGCTGTTAACATCTTTCTCCGTAGTGTCATTGGAAGTAGGGATATGTCAGACATCACTCCCTGTCTTAGAGATCAAAAACAGAAAGGGAGAAGAGAGAGAGAGAGAGATGTTATTAATAGATTATACCACAATCTGGAATGGTTGTCACCATAATGAAGGACAAATAAGGGCAACCCTTGTATTAGCTAAGTGGGACAGTTGCTCTCTGATTGGAAGTTCCATTTTAAGAACTGTCTCTTCCTATAAGAATCTGCAGTGCTTTGGTGCATTGCAAAAAGGTTATAGATTTCTTCAAGTGGAGGAACTCGTCTCATCATAGTTGATACTGGTGGTGTCCTAATAGTGCTCTGATAGAACTCCATTTTGCTTGTATGCGTTCAAGTTAAACCACAAATAGCTTTGGGGGAGAGGACAAGAAGATTGTAACATGTCTGTTTATATAATCAGATTTTCCTCTTCGGTGCAGCTCATTCCTCTTTTGGGGGCTGTTTACATTTAGGTGGCCTTCCCCTGGGGAACTAACACTGCAGATGTCTAGTGCTATGCCATCTGCCTTTCATGTTCCTACATCCATTATGCCCATGGCTGCAGCTTAAAGGACAATCTTGGTGGGTCAGGGGAATAACCTTTTTTTTAAATAAATTTTAAAAATCACAGGAGGTACTGCAGAGAATGAGCACAGGGCCTCCATGGAAAGTTTTTAAAAACTAGAAGAAGAATAAAACAGGTTTGGTTGTTTTTATGGGTGCAGAGATAGATTTGGTCAAAATGGCATGAAGGAGAAACCTGCGACATCTTGTATCATGTCACTAATACAGTCTGTGTCTGTGTTATTTCTGACAACAGTTTTGTGAATGGCCCACTTTTAATTATATCACCTGTGTTACTGTATTTCAGTTCCCTCTGGCCTCACTGTTTCTCCTGTAACTATGTGTGTATCTGTAATCCAGGATAGGACTTCATGCATCTGCTAAAGGGGACTCTAGTCCACAAACACTTATGCTGGAATAAATGTATTGGTCTTTAAGATGCTGTAATGTTCTTGGGTTTTTTTGCTGTAACAGACTAACAGAGTTACCCATCTCTGGCTGCTTGTGACCTTCAAGTGACATGCTGCAATTCTCTTTGCTGTGGCTGATAACAGCATTTACCAGCAGCTTGGCATCCTGGATTGTAAATTGGCAAACTGCATTTCTCCCACTAGAGGGGCACTATTTGAGGTGATATCATCTGTCTGTTCCAGTCAGGGTCCACAAGCTCCTGCTATTCCAAGAATCTCATTTGTGTGTTATTTTATTTCTTGCATTTCTATGCCTTCTTTCATCCAAGGATCACGGGGCAGTTTAGATTATAAGAACACAAAAATACATAACATAGTAACAAACAGAAACAGTAACTCCTCCACCCTGATACATAGGTTGTTTAAGGCCTGGGAGAAGAGGAATGTTTTTTCCCCTAATGCCTAAAGATATGTAGTTCAAAAGAAAGCAGTGTAATGCATTTGGCACCAGCTTGTCTGCAGGAGTTGCTGGAAGGAGTCATACAAGGCACCATCCAACCATCTTAGGAACTCCACTCCAGATTTGTGTAGGGTTTACCCCTTAGCCTTTTGTTGTCCTGAAGATATCCTGCAAGGCAGTGGAGGTATAGGAACAGTTTCCCTAGAGGGGCTACCTTTCCAGTTTGACAAGCCCCACCTGCTCTTCAGCCCAGGAGATTTAATTTTCAACAACAACAAAATTCAGAGAAAACAAGCCATCCAAGGAGTTAATGATTTCTGTTGAACATCCACCAATATGTTATTGAGCTCATAGCAGTTATTTCTGAAATGCCAACTGAGAACTATTTCTGGCTGGCTAGAATCCATTTGGAGCAGCCCAACAAAAGATATAATGGGACAGGATGAAACAAGGGTGTAAGTGTGCATCTAGTGAAGTTCATGGAGCCAAGTGCTTTGAGCAAGAGCACTTAGCCTAGAACCTAAGGTTGTAACAGATAATCATTTACTTGGAACAGCTTCCCCATTTGTATTTCTGGGGCATCAGCCCTGAGCCAATATCAGCAGTTCAATAATGGTAGAAATGGAACAGAAGAAGACAAGTACAAAAGGAATAAATAGAAGTTGACTGATTGTCACTGATGCAGCTACAAGCTTGTTTACACTTTAATTCCACTTGCCATCTCCTAGGTTGATAGAATCCAGTTTACTAAACCAGATAATGAACAGCCAGTCTGGTAAATTTCACTAGTTAGTGATCCTAAACTTTTTAGTGGGGAAGGAATTGAAGAAAGTTGAAACAATCATTACAATTTATTTATTTTGAAATAAAAATATTTTAAAATAATTATTATTTTAAAAAGTGCTTTGGGAGTCAGTGTGCTCCTGTCCAGAGCATTGTCGAATATCCTGGAAACTAACCAAAACAGAGGTTCTTCTCTTGTCCTAAATGGAATTTGCCTTTATGATTTTAAAGAAAAAGCATTCAGTGTTGAAGTTTAGAAAGGTAAGGTATTTTAAAGGAGTTTTTAAAGTTTGCATCTGATCACATAGGTTACAGTGGCTCCCAAACCTTTCCCCAGACTACTTGAAAATTGCTGAGGGTCCTGACAAACCACTTAAAATGATTTTTCTGCCTGTTGTAGCAATAGTAGCATTCTGTGCCAGATGCTACAATTGTAACATGCTGCTCTAGATACCACATAAGAACTTGTCACGATTCTTAAGGTACATCTAGTGAAGAGCAGTTTCACAGTTTTGATTAAAGTTTTTAAAAACCCCACCACCATTCTATCAATATTCTTTTTGCTGCTTTCCTTCTCTTCCCAATGCCTCAGGTGTAGTTTCCTACCACCACAAATTCTGTGAAAAACATAAAAATTCTGAAGCACCAGAAACTGACAGCAAGAAAAATAGTTCATAAACAATAGGTTGGTTGTGCAAATTAATGTCATTCCGTTAAAAGTCGATTCATCTAACTAAATATGCTTAGCACTGGCACTGCTTCGCCCTTATGATTTTGGGCCAAACTAGCAGTCATGTTAATTCTATGAATGTAATTAATGTGCAACATTATTGTTAAGAAAATAGGAAGCCTGTGAAGCCCTGAGACTATGAGGGAATGGGAACTTTAAACCTTTCTTTGGAATAGGCCTGGCAAAAGTCCCATCTCTGAAGCTGTCCTGAAGCTCTTGATTCCTGAGAAGGGTGTGAACAGAAAACAGAATAGTATGATTGTATCAGAAGGCCCAAGGCAGATTTTTTGAGGGATGCAAGACTTTAGCATGTTGTTGTTGCAGCATTGGTCAAACATATATCCACAGCTACTGGGGGTGGAGTACCCATAATTTTCAATTCTTTTCTTTATTTCTTTTATTGAAGGTTAACATTCAAAGAAGTCAATTTTAGAGAAATTAAACAATATGAATAAATGTTCTCATATCACCACAGTAAACAAATCTCAGAGAAAAGAGAGTAAATATTGACTGATCTTGACTGAAGAAGAAATACAATAGTGGCATAATAGATAAGGCATGTGTCCACCTGCTGCAAAAGTCAGTAAACAGTGTGTGAGGGGGGTTGCTTTTGTTTTGAGCAACATGCAAGTTCTACAACTCAAAGAACAGTTGAACTCGCATTTTCCTACCCTGGAAAAAAGGAAAAACATTGATCAAGATTAAATGAAAATGCATAAAGGAAGTTACTAATTCCCACCTTTCACCCTACCACAATTGCTACCACTCGTCTTCTGAAATATGTAGAAACTCTATGGTAACATAAAGATAACTTGCAGAATAAAATTGAAATATGCTGGGCTTTTTTATTTCTTTAAGGAATGCATTATTACTTCAGTGCCATCTGGTGGATTCTGTGTGTAACAGGTTTAAATGTCAACTTTCACAGAGAGGCCCAGGTGACCTCAGTGGGTCAGAGTGTCTTTTACCAGCTTAACATGGTAAAACAGCATAGCCACTTCTAGAAAAAGGATGGGGTGACTATTGTCATCTGTGGGCTGGTAACCTCCAGATTGGATTACTGCAGTGTGCTTTATTTGGGACTGCCTTTGAGGTTCATCAAGAAGTGTTGTAGTCCGATTGCTCACTGGGGTAGACCATCACCATCGTATTAAACTGCTGCTGAAAGAATTACACTGGCTGCCAATTAAGCTACTGGACTAAGTTCAAGGTGCAAGCACTGGTGTGCAAAACCCTAGACAGCTTGGGACCAAGATACCTAAAAGATAGTCTCACCTCTTACATACCAAACTGATCACTGCACTTTGCAGGAGAGGGACTCCAGCAGATACTATCTGTCCCTTCTTCTTCTTTGGCAATCACTAGTAGCCGAATAAGACTGTCTTCCATAAACACGCTTTTAACAATGAGTCTGTAAGTGACTGTGGAGGCCAATTCTGGACCAACACATCCTTCCACAGTGGAGACATTGGCTTCTGGGTGGGAGTTGATCACGGTGTGGATTTGCCAAGCGTGCCTTCCTCTTAGCATGTTTCTCCCTTGCGTCCCTTGTGTCCAGAGTTTGAGTGTCTTCAAAACCCATGACACCTTTGGTAAAGGCTGTTCGCCAAATGGAGCGCTCGCAGGCCAGTTTTTCCCAGTTGTCGGTGTTTATACTACATTTTTTTAGATTTGCCTTCAGACAGTCTTTAAACCTCTTTGGTTTACACTGAGGTTTACACTGAGGCATCTGTCCCACACAATACAGGAACCAGGTCTTTAGTGTGGCGACAGCTAGCCTTCTGAATTCTCTCCTGTTACATTTTAGACAGATGCCATCTCTATCATCTTTTCAACACCTACTGAAGACCTTTCTCTTTTAACATGCTTTCAAAGTGGAGATCTGCATTAGAACCATTTTAAACGGTTTTCATATGTGGAATTGTTTTAAATGTTCCCATTGTTTTCATATGCGGAACTGTTTTTATGAGGGCTTGGTATATTTGGAATCTTGGCCGTTTGACAGATAACGAGGTCAAATGGTAAGGTAATTTCCCCCCAGAACTACACATTCACATACATAAACCCCCATATCTTCATTGTATACGTGTGGCTTGTTCAGCATGAAATTAAAGCTACAGATATGTACAATGCTAAGGGACGCAGGTGGCACTGTGGGTTAAACCACAGAGCCTAGGACTTGCCAATCAGAAGGTCGGCGGTTCGAATCCCCGCGACGGGGTGAGCTCCCATTGCTCGGTCCCAGCTCCTGCCAACCTAGCAGTTCGAAAGCACATCAAAGTGCAAGTAGATAAATAGGTACTGCTCCGGCGGGAAGGTAAACGGCATTTTCGTGCACTGCTCTGGTTTGCCAAAAGCGGCTTAGTCATGCTGGCCACATGACCCGGAAGCTGTACACCGGCTCCCTCGGCCAATAAAGCGAGATGAGCGCTGCAACCCCAGAGTCGGTCACGACTGGACCTAATGGTCAGGGGTCCCTTTATGTACAATGCTATTGGAAAGAAGAGCAATGCTTCAATATCCACATTTTAATAAATTTTATTGGATTTCAGAAATCCATAAATAAGTAGCAGATAACCACTTGCACAGAACAATGAGGACTGAGAGAGCAAAACAGTTCCCCTAAAGTGTGTATACATATTTTTAGTTATAGAAATTATATAATGGTAGATCATAAAATATCAGGGTGGTGTAAAAGGACAAAACATAAACCCCATTATAAACAGTACAAAATAATCATTAATGTGACTTGCCAAAGCACTGGCCCTTGCAAGTCCATAAGTATGGAAAGAGGTTGCAAACATGTTATTGACGTTGCCATTTATATGTCAGGGTGTACTTGCCAAGTGACTAAAGATAGATGCTGGCAGATACAAAATTTGCATACCACCGCAGCAATAATTGTTATAAGAGGTTTACATTGAAGACGACCCTTGAAAGGCTAGCTCTGGAATTTCAGCCAGACAGATAAGAAGAGGGCGGCCCAGATTGTAGCAATGAAGAGTCGCAGCTGCTTGTTTAGACATGCTTACAAATACCCATTCATGGGAAGGTTAGCAACAGCAACTCTGCTCCAGCTTGCCCATCACATTTTGAAAGTTGTTGTGCGGAGTTCGCACAGTTAAATGCTCTGGTGCAGGTTTCCTGGAGAACCGAGAAGAATCATACCATGTTCCTTGCTCAGCAGTGAATATTCAATATGCTTTGTATGTATCAGCAGCTTTGATTTGACACTAAACAATATACATTTGTATTTTAAAAATATAAGTATGGGCACTTGGCTATGTGATTGTTGTACCAGTGATGTGTCACTGTCTGATAAATGGTCAATATTATATATGCCTCTGCAGTCATTCCCGCCCTGAAGCCTATTGCTGTCTCCTTACCTTGCGAAGTCTTCCTTTGGACATGGAAACGTATTCATGCTTTTAGACCAATCTGCAGTTTTTTTTATTTAAAAAAATAGCATTTTTAATAACCACTCATTAATGATAAGTTCTTGTGGCAGTTCACATCAATTTTCTCAAAGCCATAAAATGTGCATATTCAATATGAAACTTTTAAACAAGATCGGAATAAAGCCAGAATAGGAGTCAGTTAGAAACTGCATCATTGCTCGGAACCAATTTGAAGTTAAATTCCCCCCCCTCAAAGAAAAATGTTTCCTTAAAGTCTAAATAATAATAAAAAATAACCTGCTTTGATAACTGCAGTATCGGAGTTGCTGTGGCTGCAGTGATATGAGGGAGATTTCTTTTTTGAAAACCCACTATGTTAAGCCATTCTGCAATTCCAGTTAATGAATGGTTTCTGATACTGATAAATAAAGGCATCTACAGAGAAATCTGTTCATTTTAATAGCTGGTGTAACAATGTGCATATACTGAAACCCTTACAAAATATATTACATACCAGCAGTTGGGTTGGAATATCTCTTGGAAGTCAGCATTTGCCTTGTCCTAAAACTGGTCTATGGGGTGAAGAAGTGTAATCAATGGTCTGCTGTATTTGACTGAGTGTAAGATGCAAGTGCGAGACAAACTTCCCAGCCAAAGGTTTACTTGTAATGGTTTAGATGTCGTCTTTGGGTTGCTGCTGTGGAATTTTACGTGCAAATTTACTGGGGATAAAAGTGACAGGTTCACATTCAGTAGATAGACAGGTGCTTCACAAGTTTATTCCCTTAGTTCTGCCAAAGCACACACCCCTGATCTGTGGCATCCCTGCTATGCGTCCCCACAGCTATCCTGTGCCAAATGGTGTTTCTTCCAAAGTTCACAAACGCTGCTGTCAGATCAGAAATAACTGTGACTGCCTGTGCTTTGCACATGTTTGCTTGAATAGCACCATCGGCAGCGGCTTGCTGCAAAGCCTACCGATATCTGAAAATTGTGTGTTGATATGCAAGGAAGGGGTTCCATTTATGATGGATGCACATCTTTGGAACTTTTGAATGGAGTTGAAAAGGTTGAGCGATAATAACCGTTCAAGTACACCTAGTGAGTTTAATGGGTGAATGGGGATTTGAACTAGGATCTCCCTACGTAGCAGCCATAAATATATACAAATTGAAAGACTCCCTGTCCCTCTGGACATTTCAGGAAGATCAGTAGGAAGATGACAATCCCATGATAAATGCTTCAAAACATTACAGATGACAGTGTGGCTCATTCACAGTAGATAAGTTGTTTCAGTGGCATCACCATGATAAATATAACCAATGCAGTGAACCTTTGTGACCTTGGAGCAGTTGGTAGAGCATGAGACTCTTGATCTCAAGCTTGTGGGTTTGAGCCCCACATTGGGCAAATGTTTCCTGCATTGTAGGGGGTTGGAATAGCTGAACCCCATGGTCCCTTCCAACTTGACAACTCTACAATCCTATGATTCCTTCTTTTATTTGCTTTAAAATTTTTTAAAATTAATTTCCACAATTAAACATTATCATCACATACTGTATTTTTTTGCACCATAACACTCACTTTTTTCCTCCTAGAAAGTAAGGGGAAATGATGGACTCAAGGGCATCCTGATCAAATTTGCAGATGACACCAAACTGGGAGGGGTGGCTAACACCGCAGAGGACAGGATCACACTTCAAAACGACCTTGACAGATTAGAGAACTGGGCCAAAACAAACAAGATGAATTTTAACAGGGAGAAATGTAAAGTATTGCACTTGGGCAAAAAAAATGAGAGGCACAAATACAAGATGGGTGAGACCTGGCTTGAGAGCAGTACATGTGAAAAGGATCTAGGAGTCTTGGTTGACCACAAACTTGACATGAGCCAACAGTGTGACGCGGCAGCTCAAAAGCCAATGCAATTCTGGGCTGCATCAATAGGAGTATAGCATCTAGATCAAGGGAAGTAATAGTGCCACTGTATTCTGCTCTGGTCAGACCTCACCTGGAGTACTGTGTCCAGTTCTGGGCACCACAGTTCAAGAAGGACACTGACAAACTGGAACGTGTCCAGAGGAGGGCAACCAAAATGGTCAAAGGCCTGGAAACGATGCCTTATGAGGAACGGCTAAGGGAGCTGGGCATGTTTAGCCTGGAGAAGAGGAGGTTAAGGGGTGATATGATAGCCATGTTCAAATATATAAAAGGATGTCACATAGAGGAGGGAGAAAGGTTGTTTTCTGCTGCTCCAGAGAAGCGGACACAGAGCAATGGATCCAAACTACAAGAAAGAAGATTCCACCTAAACATTAGGAAGAACTTCCTGACAGTAAGAGCTGTTCGACAGTGGAATTTGCTGCCAAGGAGTGTGGTGGAGTCTCCTTCTTTGGAGGTCTTTAAGCAGAGGCTTGACAACCATATGTCAGGAGTGCTCTGATGGTGTTTCCTGCTTGGCAGGGGGTTGGACTCGATGGCCCTTGTGGTCTCTTCCAACTCTATGATTCTATGATTTTATGATTCTATGTCTGTGCGTGTTATGGAGTGAATGCCTATGGGTGGCGGGGGGGATCTGCTGCAGTTGTGAACAGAGGATCCATGGTTCCCCTTCCTTCCCTCCTCCGTGTCTCGCTTTGAAACAGCAAAGTGGGAGAAGAGCCGCTGAGTGGGGAGGAGAGAGGGACAGAGAGCCTGCTTGCTTTAAAGGAGCAAAGCGGGAGAGGAGAGGAGCCGCTTACACGAGTCTAAGTGGCTCCTGTCCGGTTGGCTCCTTTAAAGCAAGCAGGCTTTCTGTCCCTCTCTCCTCCCCACTCAGCTCGCTAAATAGCATTATTAGCAGCATCCTTCTCCACACACCCCATGCGTGCTCCTTGTCCCTTGAGTGCTTTTCCTTCCCTCCCCACTTAAAACGTGGTTACAAAGCACGGATCCACATGGATCCTCAGGATTTTTGCACTGGGTCACCCCAAATTCACCATCAGATCACATAGCATGTCCATGGCTACATCTTGCACCAAAAAAATCACGCACCCACTGTTGCCTGGGGTCGCAGTGGTGCAAAAACGTGGTTACAAAGCATGGATCCACATGGATCCTCAGGATTTTGCATTGGGCTACTCCAAACTCACTGTCAGATCACATGTCTGTGGCCACAGCATGAACCACAAAAATCATACATCCACTGTTTCGTTTAGAATATTTTTTTTCTTGTTTTCCTCCTCTAAAAACTACGTGCGTGTTATGGTCTGGTGCGTGTTATAGAGCGAAAAATACGGTAAGTATAAAAGAATAAACTACAAAAAAGAAAGAAAATAAAACATTTTCACACAACATTAAATCCACATTTTGGGATTACTCAGAGCCCTCGACTTCCCTCCATTCCCTCCCCTGGTTCTTTTATATTATCTTAATTTATACATATCAATAATTTCCTTATCTTTAATTATCTTCAAATTTAAACATTCTCCTTAATGTTACAAGTGTTTTTTTAAAAGCCTGCTACTGTATTAACTTCCCTACAATGCTTTTGTACATATGCAGTAAACATTTTCCATTCTTTTTTATATTTGTTACCGTCTTGATTTCTAAGTCTTCCAGTTAATTTAGCCATTTCGGCATATTCCATTAATTTGAGTTGCCAGTCTTCTTTAGTGGGGACTTGTTCTTCTTTCCAGTGTTGGGTAACAATATCCGTGCGGCCATTGTTGCATACATAAACTGATTCTTGTATTCTTTCGGTATATCCATTCCTATAACACCTATTAAAAATGCTTGTGGGGTTTTTGTTTGTTTGTTTTTTACAAAGGTTATTTTAAACTTTTTTTCAATTCATTATAAATCATTTCCCAAATGCACATAAGTTGTGAGCTTAGTGTATAGTAATATTAAAACAAAAATGAGGCAAGGGTACCATCACCCTGCAATCCTAGAGCCCCATGGCCATACGAGTGGGAATGGTGTGTGTGTCTAACGGAGGAGATTGTTTTATGTGGCCAGTGTAAGTGCAGCACCAAAAGAAAGAAACACCCTCTTCCTGAAAAAGTATGCACCAGCAGATGAATATTCTGATCTGAGTACTTCCTCAAAAGCAAAGAAAGCTCTGTAAGCATAAGGATGCAGGACTGAGGTTGGGTGCAGAGGAAAATGACTTGATTACTGCCAGTCTACTGTGAGATATCATTTTGCAATTCCCATCCACTGTCTACATACACATGAGTAACAGGAAGAGGAATAGAGGGATTCTTGTGGTCCAAGCAAGAGCTGTAGGGGACAATGGGCAACAACTCAACTCACTCTGTCCCCATTGCTGTGTTTTAGAATCATCTTCCAGATAGGTGCAGAATCTTCCCTTAGCAGTTCCACAAACACATGCAGGGCTCCAAAGTTATCATCAACACCTCGTGATCAAACTGTATCAAATGCAGCTGATAAGGTGTAATAAGATCAGCGGGTTTCAATTTGTTTCTGCCACTCTCCAAACATCAGTTGTTGTAAATCACAGCCTAGTGCCATCTCTGAGCCATAACGCAGTTCAGAGTCAGATCCGCATGAATGTCACATTGTCTAGGTGCATCTGGAATTGCTGCCACATGGAGCTGCTGGTCTACCATTCAGGGTGGAAGCCCTCCAGCCGGCACTCCCACACGGCGCCCTGCCTGCCCCACTGCCAGTGGTAGAGAAGCACCGCCACCATTGGTGCTGATTGTGGGAACTGATCTTGTAAGAAATGGGTGCTGTCTGGCAGGTCACACAGCAATTGGTGGCAGAAGAAGCAGCCAGAGCAGCAGGGCAGGGTGGCAATTTCAATTTTGCATAACTGTTCCTGCCTAGGAGTGACTTTGAGAGGGATGATTGGAGTTGTAGTCAAGGATGATTGCCAACAGATGGAGGGCACAATTTGGGAAAGGCTGGCCCAATGTATACTTACAGACAACTACCCTTGATCAAGAGTTCCACATTTATCAAGGCAGTTTCTGGGTAGGCGTTCTTCCATGTTATAAAGCCGCAGCTTGATACTGTAGTGATTTATAGCTATGGCTCTGGCCACTTCCATGTTATGGAAGGAAGCTAATCTTGCAGATGAAACCCATCCATTTCTGACAAAACTAGCAGCCTGTTAAAAAATAATAATAATAATGCAGAGACGTTATCACCACCAGTGGTGAAGCCGCCTTAACTTTCAGTGCTTCCTCTTGCTGCCGTTCTTCTACACGTTGGTAGCAACATGAGCAACTTTGGCCATGGAAACCCAATAAACAAGGCCAGCTGCATTCCAATAATACTTTTAGCTACTGAAAAAACATGGAAGCTTAAATTAGTGAATGTCTTTCAGTAGCAGGTGCTTGCTATCAGCAAGCATGCAAGCCAGAAATCAGGCTGCAGAAACAGGAACTGCAAAAGCCCCAAGTAATTTATGGAACAAACCCATCACAAAAAACTTAAAGGAAAAGAGGTCAACTGACATAGGCAGTTGAGTTTGTAGCCTCCTGTGACCTGCCAACACCTTCTGCGATGGCATTGACCATGCTCACATTAAGGCCAAGATATA